ACCAAGATCCCAAGAGGAGAATGGAGGAGAAGGGATTGCGGCATGGCCATCCCCCCTGGGGGGTGATTTCTCGCTTTCTCTCTCTCTCTCTCTCTCTGTCTGTCTGGCGAGCACACGCGTTCTATAGCAAAAACCTCTTCAAAAAAAATTTATTATAATATCTTGTTTATATTACATTAAATCACATATAACTTTATAGTTTATTACATTTCTTTTCCCAGAAAGAATACTATGTATATCAGTCAATACAAAGACATTAAAATCCCCATCATCATCCAATAGCTAAAAAGTAAACTAGTATTCTCTAATTATCACTTCTCAATCCCCCATCCATTTCCTTAGCCCTAAGCAATGACTAATCTATTTTTTCTCTATGGATTTGCTTATTTTGGACATTTCATATTTTTGAAGTCATAGAACTCGATGTCCTTTGCGTCTGCTTTTTTCGCTTAGCATAATGTTTCCAAGGTTCGTCTATGTGGAAGCGTATACCTGTACTTTTTGTTGGTTTGTTTGGCTGAATATTTCATTGTGTGGATATACCACATTGTTTATTCATTCCATAAGTTGATGGAAATGGTTATTTTTGCCTTTTGACTACTATAAATAATACTGCTATAAACATTCACGTACAAGTTTTTCAGTGGACATATGTTTTCATTTTCCTTGAGTATGTAACTAGGAGTGGAATTACTGAGTGAAATGGAACTACTAGATGATTAATGCTGTCGAACTTTTTTAATGTGCTTACTAGCCATTCACATGTCATCTTTGGAGAAATATCTATTCAGCTCCTTTGCACAGTTCCCCCCCCCCTTTGGAGGGGTTTTTGCTATAGGGCGCTTGCGCTCACCAGAAAGACAGAGAGAGACAGAGAGACAGAAAGCGAGAAATTACCCCCCAGGGGGGATGGCCGTGCTACAATCCCTTCTCCTCCATTTTCCTCTCAGGATCTTGGGCACACATGCACGCACACACACCCGTCATGAGTTTAAGCCACCGGGTCCAGGACTCAAATCACAGTCGACTACATAGGAGTCCAGTGACATAGTCATTACACTAAGTGCTGGTCCCATCCTTTGCACAGTTTTTAATTGGGTTGACTTTTTTTTTTTTTTTTTTTTTAGTCGTAAGACTGCCAAACAGTTCTCTCTGTGCACTCAAGCAGATAAGGAACTTTATAAAAATGATGAACTATCAATATCTACTTCTCTAACAGCTTGGATTATAAAGAGAGGAGACAGTTGGTATTCAGACAGATGAGGAAGAGAATCGGGGAATAGGCACTCAGTCTAGTATTTAGGAATTAGCGAAAACCGCTACATTCACTCCTGTAATAACAAAGAGGAGCTGTAGAGTTCAGAGCATAAAGACAGCACAGAGTCCTTCCATCAGCGCATTGCACAAAATGATCTAAAACTGGCGAAAATACTGCCATGAAAGAAAGGAGAGGGAATAAAATACAGCTGAATACACTTTGGAAAACTTAGTCCAGGAAATAATAGAACATGCTATATAAAAGCTGCTTTGACTCTTAAAACATAAAGAAAATTGAGTAAGAAAATCAGAAAACTGGCACCAGCAGGTGACATGGTAGTTAAGGCATTGGATAGGCAACCATGGTTTGAGTCCCAGAATGGGTGGCTTGCTTTCTCACTTCCTTTCTCTCTGGTCAAACTAAAAAATAATAATAAATAAATTAAATAATTCCTTGGGACCAATAGGTGGCATAATGACTACATTGCTGGACTCCCGTGTAGTCGACCGTGGTTCGAATCCTGGACCCAGTGGCTTAAACTCACGCTGGGTACATGTGCATATGTGCCCAAGATTCCAAGAGGAGAATGGAGGAGAAGGGATTGCAGCATGGCCATCCCCCCCTGGGGGGTGATTTCTTGCTCTCTGTCTCTCAGTTTCTCTCTGTCTTTCTGGTGAGTGTACAGGCCCTATAGCAAAAACCTCTCTTAAGAAAAAATTCCTTAAAAACAAAGCTTAGAGGAAAAAAAGAATAGAATGATTATAATACAGAAACCTAGATTAGCAGTACCAGGAAGTAGAATGTGGAGGATAGGCTTAAGAAAAGTCACCTGGGGCCAGCAGGTGGCATGATGGCCAAGGCACTGTACTCCCCCATCACTGACCACAGTTCGAGTCCTGGACCTAGTGGCTTGCTTTCTCAAGTTCTCTCTGATGAGTGCACATGCCCTATAGCAAATTAAAAATAATAAATAAATAGAAAAAGAAAAGTAACTTGTAAACATAATTGAAGAAACGATAAAGAATCTGGAGGACAGATAATAGAGAGTGAACATATGATTTTTCCAAAAACAAGAATAGCGAGAAATTGTTGGTAAATACATAATAGGAGAAAAAAAAGGAAAGCCAAAATTGGCCGTTTAAAAAGTATCAGTTTAACAGTCTCCTTTGTTGAGTGTAGAGTTGTTTCTCACTTTTCATCATATGCAGCATTGCGACGACTGTCTACTTGTAAGTCTCTGTCTTCCTTTCTTACTGCTGTAGGGTACAGTCATAGTAGTCAAATTGCTGGGATGGAAAAGATGAATATCTCAGTTATATGTTGTCAGAATAATTTCCAAAGGATTAATCCAGTTTATACTACCACTGCTGGGTTTCAGTTTATTTACCAGCATTAACTTTTTTTTAAGTTTCTTTCTTGCATAAGAATGAGAGGCAGAGAGAGAAAGAGAGAGAGAGGGAGAGAGAGAGATTGGACCCCCGATGGGGTCTGGCCACATTTCACAGTGCCCCCTACAATTTCCCAGCCAGCAGGGCCACAGGCAGGGGTGAGACCAGGGGTCACACCCAGCCCTCCCAGATAGCCACTGTATTACACGGCAGCACCTCCTGCCCTTGCCACCACAGCTAGCCTGGCAGTAACATTTTTGCTTTTAATTGTCAGGATGCATGCATTTGCCAGAGAAAAAGAGAAATCATCCCTCAGTGGGGCATGGTCATGCCACAGTCCTCCTCCCTCCCTCCCATCAGGACTTTGGGTACAGATGCATACTCATCCATGTCAGCACACATGGATGTTTTCTAAGCCACAGGATCAGGACTCAAACCAAGGTTGACCATGTGGTATCCAACTTCCTTAACCCCTAGGCTACAGGGCCAGCTCAGCATTAAGATTTTAAAATTTTTGTTCATTTTATAGTAAAAAATGTCATCTTTTTTTACCCAATGGGGCATGGTCATACCACAGTCCCTTCTCTGTTTGCTCATTCCATTGGTATTTTGGGCATGAACACACATACTCCTGGCGTGTTTTTCAAGTTGCTGGGACCAGGATTCTTTCTTTTCTTTTTTTGGAGAGGTTTTTGCTATAGGGCGTTGTGTGCTCGCTGGAGAGACAGCAAGAAATCATCCCCCAGGGGGAATGCCCATGCCGCAACCCCTTCTCCTCCATTCTCTTCCTGGGATCTTGGGCATGCATGCACACATGCCTGGTGTGAGTTTAAGCCACTGAGGCCAGTACTTGAACCTTGGTCGACTACATGAGAGTCTAGCAACATAGCCATTATGCCAACTGCTGTGGGACCAGGATTCTGACTATGGTCGTCCTTATGGAATCTGGCCTCCTTAACCGTTAATCTACAAAGCCAGCCCCTTATTCTTCAAATTTACATTTATCTTATTACTTACGAAATGAGGCTCTTTTTAATTTTTTTTAAATTTTTAGGGATTTTTGCTATTATAGGATGCTTGCACTCGTTGGAGAGACATAGACAGAAAGCAAGAAATCATCACCCAGAGCTATGGCCACGCTACAGTCCCTTCTCTTCTCAGGATTTTGGGCCGGCTCGTACATGGGCCTGGTGTAGTTTCAAGCCTCAGGGACCAGGACTTGACAGCAGCTGACTATCTGGGAGTCCAGTGCCTTAACCACATTGCCACTGGCTCGCTCTGTGATTGGACACTTTTAAAAATTAGGTTAAGGGAACCAGCAGTTAGCGTAATGGCTGTGTTGCTGGACTCCCACGTAGTCGACCGCGGTTCACGTCCCAGACCTGGTGGCTTAAAACTCACACCGGGCGTGTGTGCATGCATGCCCAAGATCCCGAGAGGAGAATGGAGGAGAAGGGATTGTGGCGTGACCATCCCCCCTGGGGGGTGATTTCTCGCTTTCTGTCTCTATGTCTCTCTCTGTCTGTCTGGCGAGCGCACGCGCCCTACAGTGAAAATCTCTCCAAAAAAAAAAAAAAAAAAAAATTAGGTTAAATTGTTTTCACCTGTGATTTTTTAGTTTGCTTTTTTCTCTTCAGATTTCACTGTCTCTTTGTCACATTTGTGGCAAATATATTGCTCGGATTATTGATTCTCTTTTTATTATAAAGTCATTTTTCTCTTAGATATTTTGGATTCTTAATATGAACATATTTACCGTTTCTCAATCTGTTTCCTTAGGAAGCTTTTCCCTCCTCATTGATGAGTTACATATTTAAAGTTCCTCCTCCTAGTATTTTATGTTGTCTTTGTTGAAATAAGTAATTCATTTGGAGTTCATTTTGGTTTTTGGTATGGAGTGAGGATCTGATTTCATTCTTTTAACAAATGAGCATTTTTCATATAAGTTCTTGATTATTCTTTGCTGTATTTGGTGGCATTTCATTTTACATTTTTTTGATGTACTTTAGTCTTCTCTATTTTACTTTAAAAGTTTAAAACTCTACCCCTACCCTGATCTTGCCTTATCATATTTACTTGGGGCTGTCAAATGACATGATGATTAAGGGCACTGGACTCCCAGATGGCTGGCCATGGTTCAAGTCCCAAACCTGGCAGCTTGCTTCTCACTTTCTTTCTCTCTCTCTCTCTCTATCTCTCACTCTGTCCCTCTCTGATCTAATTAAAATAAAATGAAATAAATAAATTCAAATAAATATAGTTAAAATAAAAAATAATTATTTAAAAAAACCTTCTTCCTTTAAAAAAAAAAAGTTTCCTAATCTCTAATACATAAACATTTTATTTTGTTTTAGAATGTGGAGAGCTCGTCTTCTGTTATTACTGACCTCAACATAATAATGGAGCCCACAGAATACTCAGAACTAGGTGAATTTGTGTCTAGGTAAGCTATTTTACAGATTTACTTTTTAGGGACTGTTTTCACTCTGCAGTTTGAACAGCACTGTCTCTCTTGATGATTTGTCCCCTCTGAGAGCACAGCGCGGTTGCTGTGCTTTAATTCAGGCCGTCACTCCCTACAGGTATGCCCCTTTCCTCCTTTTCTTGTTTGTTGCACATTCACTGTGTGTTGGGCATTACTAAAACGTGAACCAAACAGATATAAATCCTCGATCCTCCTGGAACTTAGAACCTAATGGAGAAACAAGGTATTAACAACTAACTGCAAAACTAAATCTAAAATTATGACTCTGTTAAATGGTACAAAGGAGAATTACATAATGCTGTTGAAGAACTCGGAATGATTTCCCAGCGCTTGAGCTGACATCTGAAAAATGAGTAGGTGTGAGACCAGCAGTTAGCGTAATGGCTATGTCACTGGACTCCCACATAGTCGACCGCGGTTCAAGTTCTGGACCCAGTGGCTTAAAACTCAGGCCAGGTGCGTGTCTGTGCGTGCCCAAGATCCCGAGAGGAGAACGGAGGAGAAGGGATTACAGCGTGATCATCCCCTGGGGGGGGTGATTTCTCGCTTTCTGTCTCTCTGTCTGTCTGGTGAGCGCACGTGCCCTATAGCAAAAAAAAAAAAAAAAAAAATGAGTAGGTGTGAACTCACAAAAAGGTCCTTCCCAGAGGGCACAGCTTCGCCTAGGCCCTATACCAGGAGGAAGCTGACAGGAGGCTGGCGGACAGAGTGGGCACGAGCAGGGGAATGTGTGTAAGGGCCACACTCCATGGACTTTGTACCAGGAATTTTATCACAATTCCAAGACCAGAGTGAAACTCAAGGATTTGAGCAGGGCCTGAGGAAGGCAAAAGTGTGACATCTTAGAAAGAATTATTCTGGGTGTGCAGGGAGAATGGACTGGACACAGGTAGATCAGTGAAGAAAGAGAAGAGTTTAATAGTTTAGACTACCGTGATAGTAGTGGAGCCAGAGAGCTGAACGGATTTGGGGGATGTTTCTGGGAAATGAAACTTTGTGGAGAGCCACCAGTATTTTTAAAAGGGTACCAAACAGAGCCAGTGTGGCATTGTGATCAAGGGAGCTGGATCCTACCTAGCCAACTACATGGTTGGAGTCCCACATCTGGTGTCTTAGAAAATACCAGGAGTGTGTGCACGCATGCCCAGAACTCTGAGAGGAGAAGGGGTTTCTGCGTAGCCATCCCCCTGGTGGCTATTTTCTCACTTCGCTTCTCTCTCTGTCTCTTGGGCAAGCACACACGGGCTGAAGCAAACAATTGGGGGTACTTAACATTGATCAGGAGACCGGGAATTTAGTCCAGACTCTGACCTCAGATGAGTCACTTGGCTTTAAGCGCCTCTTCATTGTCGCTGCCGTTGTGCAGTTTAAGCTCGATGTGTCTGAATGTGAATTTACTTGTAGCTTTTCGTCATAGAGCTATAGTTTATCAGACTCAGGATTGATGGCTTTAATTTTGGAGAAATTCTTGTCATTCTTTTTTCTTTTTTTTTAATTTTTGCCATAGGGTATGTACGCTTGCCGAGACAAAGACAGAGAAAAAGTAAGAAATTACCCCTTAGGGGGGATGGCCACAACATGGTCCCCTCTCCTCTATTCTCGTCTTGGCATTTGGGGCACACACACCAGCATGATTTATAAAACTCTGGATCTGGGACTCAAACCGTAGTTGGCCATGTGGGAGTCCAGCACCTTAACCACCATGCCATCTGATAGCCCCCTCTTACTAGTATTTCACTAACTCCCCTCTACCCTGATCTTGCCCTATCATAGTCTGCCTCACATTAAATGGTGCACGTCTCAGTTATAAACTGTCTGCCTTTCATTTCCCTCTCACTCTGCTGTTGCTGTCCTCTGGCTCACTTTCACAGATATGCAAGACCCTTAGTACATGGTTACCAGTTTTGCTTTAGTCAGTTATTTTAAAAACTATTAAAAAGATAAACATGTTTTTGCATATTTTTATTTTTTCAATTTCTAGCACTCTTAACACACTTTCTTTGTGTTAAGATTTATGACCAAGGGACCAGCAGATGGCATAGCGGTCACGTCACTGGCCCGTATGGCCAACCGTGGTTCGAGTTCTGGACCAGTGGTTTCAAAGTCATGCTGGGCATGTGTGTGTACGTGTCCAGGGACCCTGAAAGAGAACAGAGATGGGATTGCAGTGTGGCCATCCCCCCAAGGGGTGATTTCTCACTTTCCCTCTCACTATCTATCTCTGTCTCTGTCTGTCTGTCTCTCTCGCCCCAGCAAAGGATGCACTACACCCTAAGGCAAAAACCTAAAAAAAAAAAAAAAAGATTTTTTGAGTGATATGCTCCGTTTCCTTAAGAACTTCCTTCAAGGAACCAGCAGATAACAGTTACATCACTGTATTAGGTCCCATGTAGTCAACTGCAGTTTGAGTCCTGGACCCAGCAGCTTAAAACTCGCACAGAGTGCCCACAATCCTGAGAGAAGACTGGAGACGAAGGAATCGCAGCATGGCCATACCCTGGGGGGTAATTTCTTGCTTTCTGTCTCTGTTTCTCTCTGTCTCTCCAGTGAGCATGTGTACCCCATAGCAAAATATTTATCTCTTAAAAAAATAAAAGGAAAGAACCTGCAGATGGGTAATGGTTATGTCATGCTGCAATCCCTTCTCCATTCTCCATGGAATTTTGGACATGCATATGTGCCCAGTGTAATTTTTAAGGTTCCTGGTCCGAGACTCAGATGGCGGTCCGCCATGTGGGAGTCCAGTGCCTTAGTTCCCATGCCACCTGCCTGAACCTGGACTGCCCGTGTGGTCTCCAGCCTGCTAAGTGTGGTACCACTCGGGCGCCACCAAGGCTGAGCCAATTTGGGATTTGGGTGCTTTTTTTATCTTCAGGCTTCATGACATCAGGTTCTTCCGGCAGTGGACTGCTATTACCTTGTGCTGAGATGGGAAACCTGATGACAGAGCGTTCCTTAGTGTGCCACCTCTACCCAGCTTCCTGCAGTCCCTGTATGTCTGCATCTCTCAGGAGAACCACGCTCCGGCGTGAACTGTCAATGCTCATCACTTAGTGCTGAGCTCGTGGGCACAAAGGGCATTCTTCCTCGTCGCATCCCACCCGCCATGTGGCTCAGTTCTGGGACCTGTGCCTCGTGGATAACCTTCCTCAGTGTTCCGCTCTTCACCCCTGTCTGTGTTGGTGCTGGAGGGAAGTGTGTCTCATTTTCCTCCCTGTGGTAGCAGATTTGTACTGGTACTCATGTGGGGCCTAACAGTACCTTTTCCCCCAAGTTTGAGTTGCCCACTTAGATCTCGCAGCTGAAGCTATGCTGCCATGAGCACCACGCTGCCTGGTGTTGGTGGCAGTTAGGCTGAACTTTGAATTCCTCTCACCTTCCCCAGTGCTCTATTCCTCAGAGATGCCTGTTCTCCTGCTTCCAGGCTCAGAGTTTGCTCAGTTCTGCACCTCTTTTTATTAATTATTATTATTTTATTTATTATTTAGCTTTATTTATTTATTTAATTTGACCAGAGAGGGACAGAGCAATAGACCGAGAGAGAGAAAGTGAGAAAGCAAGCCACCAGGTCCGGGACTTGAACTATAGTCGGCCATGTGGGAGTCCAGTGCCCTAAGCACTCCACCTGCTGGTCCCTCCTTTTTTTTTTTTTTAAATGAATGATTTCCTTTTTTATCATTTCTTTCTTTTAGCTCTTTATTTTGAATACTTTTATAGGTTTTTTAATTGTCCCATTTATTTACTTAATTAAAATTTAGTTTACTTTTCCATGAGAGAGAAATGGGTACTCCCAGCAGGTCTTCACATCCTGATAAGTCTCCAGCAGTAATGCCTTTTAAACTTTTAAACTAAGTCGTCTTATTTACATCAGTACATTGTTTCTTTATATTGCTGAGTGGTGTTCTGCTGTATGGACATTCACCCATTGGGTTGAAAGAACATCGGGTGGTTTTTGGTGCATGTAACATATTGTAATTTCATATATTGCACAGTTGTGTGTCACTCTGTGACAGGGTATGTTCTCAGAAGTTGTCATGGTGTGAACATCACAGAATATACTTAGAAGGCCACCAGGCTATGTGGTGCAGCCCGTTCTCCCACAGCTGCAGACCCGTACAGCACATTACGCACTCACACTGTCGGCAATTACAACACAAAGGCGTTTGTGTATCCAGTGTACCTAGACATGGAGAAGGCACACTGAACACCCCAAGGCCCACTGGAGGGAGTAACCACTGGACACTGCTGCTAGGCAGACTGAGGTCGCATGGGACACCAGGTGAGATTCCTGGCCCCCCTAAAGAGCTGGGTACAAGGCTGTGCCTCTGTTTGCAGCTACTTGGGAGGCCAATGCAGAAGGATCATGCGATCTGAGACCACACATGCATGGAAAATATAGTATAAAAGATTAAAAGTGATATGCCTGTATAGGGCACCTAGCGTGAATGGAGCTTAACTAAATCAAGCACAAGAGAAAATGATACAATCAAGAGATGCCTTCAACACGAGATGTGTGAGGCTTCTGCTGGTATGACGTGGCATACTGTCTCACAGTAGGGCATTCTTCCTCATCGCATCCCACCTGCCGTGTGGCTCAGTTCTGGGACCTGTGCCTCGTGGATAACCTTCCTCAGTGTTCCGCTCTTCACCCCTGTCTGTGTTGGTGCTGGAGGGAAGTGTGTCTCATTTTCCTCCCTGTGGTAGCAGATTTGTACTGGTACTCATGTGGGGCCTAACAGTACCTTTTCCCCCAAGTTTGAGTTGCCCACTTAGATCTCGCAGCTGAAGCTATGCTGCCATGAGCACCACGCTGCCTGGTGTTGGTGGCAGTTAGGCTGAACTTTGAATTCCTCTCACCTTCCCCAGTGCTCTATTCCTCAGAGATGCCTGTTCTCCTGCTTCCAGGCTCAGAGTTTGCTCAGTTCTGCACCTCTTTTTATTAATTATTATTATTTTAT